TAATGCGAACTTTCCATAAAGTAAATTATGTGTGTGCTCAGATTTGTAAATCGGTGATTTTCTTTACCTTCCGCCTGACGCGTCAGAAAAACCTCTGCGATCATATCTGCATTTAACGGTTTGGGAAATGTTCCTCTTGGCAGATAGTATTGCCGGCAAAGGCAGGGGAGACTGGAATTGACATTTTTGACTTATTAGCCGTCTTCAGTCAGTCATACCCAACCCCAAGTGGTGCACACCTCGCGGCTCGAGCTTGTGACCTTTTCGATCATTCGAACGCTCTAACCATGGAGCCCTGAGCTCGTTCTCTTGCCTGTTTAGGTCGAGAAATGTTGACACTAGTTAGGAACTCTCTGTCTAAACTACCAACTGCCAGTGCCCGAGAAATGAGGCCCAAGGCAGAGCGGGACAGATGAGTTCCGTTAGTGGTCGGTGAACGTTCATCCGCCAGTGTAAATGTTCTTCCGTTTTTTAGTGTTTTTTTTTTCAATTAACTATGCCCTAAACACGCTGGATGATAATAGTGACTAGAAGTTATTTCAGAAGACTCCTGTTTTGCGTATTTTTTATGTACCATCTCTGCAATTCATGTCTTGCATAGTCATGCTGTAGATCTGAATCTACACATAGAGTTCAATTCATTTTTAGCACTTTTCTAAAATGCAAAAGTAGCACAACTTAACGGCTGCCTTTTAAAATGCTAATTAAGTCTATTCTGAGAAACGTAACTGGAAAACTAATTTCTGTGTCTAGCGTTAATTCAATAGCATTAACACGTTCGGACGATTGGCTCTACTGTGATCTGCTAGTGGTTTCTACCTCCCGGTAGCAGAGTCTTTGTTTTGCAAGTACAAACAATTGGTTAGTGGTCTTTTTGATAAATATGCACGCTTGAATATATGACACCCGGTAGATATAGCCTCTAAGTCATGTCACTCAATGCTCGCAACTTAATGCGTAGTCGGCTTGTGTTATATCGTTCACCGGTAAACCATGGGAAAGGACAAGGTGAGTGAGATCGATGCCAGCATAATTTCCTCCGCTAAAATGCCTCTGATGCGCTTTAAAATTAGCGGGACGTCCTATAATGCTGCCGTCTGGCAGGCTAATTCCCTCCTCCGTGTTGAGGGTCAGGCTACAATCGCTCCTTCTGCATATAAACTACAGCTTGTGATATAGCTCATGACATTTTAACTGAAACATTGGAGGATGGTATTGACGCAAGTGCCCTTGAAGTATTTCTTATCTTGAAATATGATTTCATGATGTTTCGGTCACGCCGGGGTTGTGGCTGTTGAGTGCGCTTGGTTGAAACTGCCTGTGAAGTCACGCCTGTTAAAATGGCTTCCTAAGTATTACGATTTTCCGCCAATTCTCGATGCCCCTATACATCCTCACTTTTACTTACTTTGCAGCATATTATATCTTCAAAGTTCTTGCCTGTGGAACATGCTCTGTGTGAGACTAGAGTATGTGAATTAGCTGTGCTGCAAACCTTTACTCAGAGATCACATCTGCGTCCTTAGGCTAGGAGTAGTCGAACGACACAGTTTTTAACCTATGCGTTTTTCCTCAATGAAGTAGTGGGTATACGTGGTCTTCTAGGGGATAACCAGTAATCCTTTAAAATTCTTATTGCACATTTTAAACAAATACCCTGCAAAAGATGTTATAGTCTGACTGTTCTCGTCAGCTCCTTAATCGAAACCTGGTTGCAGTTGTTGATTCTGCTTTATTGCGGCGGATTGATGCCGATAAATTGCATCCAACCGGCAGTTGTTTTGAAAGCGCAACTGTTGCCTTCAACCGAAATTAGGCTCACATTCATATTTTTGCATAACAACGAAGGGGAAAAACTTAGCCCAAGTCTTTCCAGTGAGTCAAACCAAAACTGATAATTGCTTTGACTCGTATTTAACGCAGTCTGACGCCAGCAAATCAGGAGACACCTTCCGGTTTATAAGTAGCTCTCTGTGACGAGGTTTTTAACCGCGCAGATGAATATCACAGTTATTAAGCTGGCTCTGCGCCCTAGCCGACCTAACACCCGACCTTTCGCGGATTAGCATTCTTATAAAGCTCGGTTTACACCTGTGCTACACTCGAAGAGAATGTTAGCCTGCAAGGTGCTGATTATTGTTCTCATCGGTTTGGTTACCTGTGGCTTCCTATTCCTTGCAATGGCTTTTACGATCACCGCTTTTCAGGATAATAGGCCTGGCAGGCTAAAAAATGTTTCTACGTCGATTGTTTGGTGAGTCACGACTGTTATTGTACCTTCGACCAGGGATCAATTGGGCGTTTAACTGTTCCTTCCCTGACGACTGTTGATTATTCAACTTTATGTACTCGCAACAGGTCCCCATCAGAGTGCCCATCCTGCTTTTGGACATGTCAGTATAAGTACGTATTTTCCACTATTAACGCCCTTTATCTTCGTATGTTTCTCTTTTGCTTTTTCATTTGCTGTGGTGGGAAAACTCTGTTGGGGTTTTGAGTAATCCATCCACGAGTCAGGCTCAATAGACACTTGATAAATTTGCGATTAACTTCCCGGTAGGGATGACTTAAGTGGCTTCCTTAACGAGACACGGGAATAGGGAAGCTTAGTCCAAGTATTGAATGTAGTCCTATGCATAATCCCAGGCGTCATAGCCCTATCCTACAGTCAACATTAGCCTCAAATTTAACCCTTACTCCCCCTACTCGTAACCTTAAACCGAATCCTAAACATAACACTTTATTCCCTGAAAGTTGGTCCAAGCATACCTATGCTGCGGGCTGCTCCGTTTCTAGTGTCCTGTTTAGCGGACCGTGCATGTCATCATTACCGACTTCGGTTGTGGTAAATAGTTGGTCATGCCGCAGAAGGAATTTTCGAATAATTAGTTGTTTATTTTTGCGTGCATCGGATACAATCATTTGGCAGTTCGCCATCATGGCCTTCCGTTGCGGCTACTTATGCAGCCGGTCTCTCCGCTTCATGAGCTCTCTCAAGTTACTTTTGGGGCCCGCAGGAGACTCGACGCCAGTCTTGTGTGAGCTCAATGGCAGCGTTACACCCTTCGCTGTCTGACTGCAGGTGACAAGGCACACACGCTCGACTCCGGCGCCCAACAACCGTAGCACAGTTTTGAGTAGACGGATTCCTCCAACTGC